CAAGTTTCGATAAAATGAGGGTGGAATGTAGGCGAAGGAGAGTTCGACGATCAGCTCTCCATGAGAGATGAGAAAGGGTTTTAAGAAGGTTCAGCTGGCTGTGACAAGTTGCCTTCAGAGAGGTAATGTGAGGTTTCCAGGATAACCTACGATCAAAGAGGAGGCCCAGAAACTTGACTATATCACATTCAGGGATACGGGAGCCATAGAGGTACAAAGGATGATCGGAGATGACAGAGCGTCTAGTGAAAGTAATTTGGTGGGTTTTAGTGCTGGAAAATTTAAACCCATGTGCGGTGGCCCAATTGGAAACACGATCGACCGCATGCTGGAGAGAAACTGTAATGAGGTGACAGCGCCTGCACAGGCAATAGCGAAGTCATCAACATGGAGTGATGACCAAATATGTGATGGAAGACTAGAGGCCAAATCATTAATAGCAAGGAGAAAAAGTGTTGTGCTCAGAACACATCCCTGGGGGACACCTTCAGCTTGGATGAAGTCCGGGAAGAGCACATTATTAACCTGAACACGGAAATGCCTGTCAGTTAAAAAGTTCTTAAGGAAGGATGGTAGATTGCCTCGAAGGCCTAAGGAGTGGGCTTGGACTAAAATATTATACCTCCAAGTTGTGTCATATGCCTTCTCAAGGTTAAAAAATATGGCAATAACTGAGTGGTTATTCGCAAAGGCATTACGAGCATACGTATCCAAGCGTAATAAGGGGTCTATGGTAGAACGACCCTTACGAAAGCCATATTGACGAGTGGAGAGACTGTTGTGTGTCTCTAAATACCACACTAAACGTCTATTTACGAGGAGTTCCATCACTTTGCAAACTGCACTGGTAAGAACAATGGGACGATAGTGGGAGGTTTCATGACCCGTAGAGTCTGGTTTGCGGAAAGGGAGAACAATGGCGGATTTCCACAGCTGTGGAAGAACTCCTTGTGACCAAATAAGATTGTAAAGGCGTAATAGGACTGCAAGGGCTGACTGATGTAAATGTTGTAGCATACAAATGTGAATGTCGTCGGGACCAGCTGCCGATGATCGGCAAGCTGAGAGTGTTGCCTCCAGTTCTTGAAGTGTAAAAGGCACATTATACTGTTCTTCTCTGAGAGAAGAAAAGTCCAAGGGTGCTAACTCTCTGGCAGACTTTGAGGAAAGAAACGAGGGGCATAGATGGAGTCCTTGAGAAATACGGACCAGATGATTGCCAATTTCATTGGCAACATCTAGTGGGTTTGCTATATCAACACCGGCAACCCGCAGAACAGGAGCCGGGTCAGGAGAATATTTACCACTCAGTTTTCGTACTTTTTTCCAGACTGCACTCATAGAGGAAGCAGAGGTGATGGTGGAGACATAATCTCACCAGCAAGTGCGTTTAGCATCACGGATGACACGGCGAGCGATCGCATGCTACTGCTTAAAATCAAGAAGTCTCTCCGTGGTTCTATTGTACCGGTACCTGCCCCATGCAGCGCGTTTCAAACGTACTGCACGAGCACAAGCAGGAGACCACCAAGGCATGCATTTCTTATAATGCCTGCCCGAAGTTTGGGGTATACAATTAGAAGCGGCGGTTAAAATGGAGGATGAGAAGAGGTGTAAAAGCTCATCAATGGAGGACGAAGAAGGAACCTCTCTAAAAACAGTTAGGTGTGAGTAAAGGTTCCAATTTGCCTAATCAAATTGCCAGCGTGGGATGCGAAGAGGTGGTGAATATGAAGGGGAAGTAAGAATGATTGGGAAATGATCGCTGTCATGTAAGTCCAGAAGAACAGACCAAGTGAAGTCTAATGCGGCGGAGGAAGAGCAGACTGAGAGATCGATGCAAGAGAGAGTGTGAGTCCGAGTATCAAAATGGGTGTGAGTACCTGTATTTAAAACATGGAGGGGGTGGGTGGCAAGAAAAGCCTCTAACTGAATGCCACGGGAATCACAGTGAGACCCCCCCCAGAGGAAATGATGGGCATTAAAATCGCCAAGTAACAGAATGGGTGGCGGTAATGACGAAACAAGAAAGGCAATATCCGGAATAGATAATGCCCGAGAAGGAGAGAGATATAAAGAACAGAGCGTATACTACCTATGCAAGTGGATACGGGCTGCTGTGTAATATAGCGAAGTATGAACAAATAGCTGATGGTATGGAATATCATTGCGTAGAAGAAGGGCACTTTCATTATAGGTCCCACCAGGAAAAGGATCTGACGAATACAATAAATTATAGCCTGAGATGGGAGAGATAACAGCAGAGTGTAATTTTGGTTCCTGTAAGCAAACACCAACAGGGGAAAACTGGGAGAGTAACATCTGAAGCTCACCCCGATTACCCCTGAGGCCACGTATATTCCACTGTAAATAGGCCATGATTGGCAATGATAAAGATACTTGAAATCCGCAGGTAAGGGTTCCTATGGACTAGAGAGGTTAGAAAAGTCCACATGCGGAGGCAGCGGAAAACGTTCAAGCAGTGAAGGAACGGTGCGCTGTGAAGAAAGGAGTTTTTGTGCAGATGGAGGAGAGGAGAGAGAAGGAACAGAGGGTGGATCAGTGTCAATTGATGGTTTGGTCTCTGCAATATATTCAGAGATTGCTTCAAGTGTTTCGGAATTCAGAGACGTTGTATGGGAGACAATATTGGAGATGGTAGGGGGAGGATGAGTAAAGATTGGAATGGTAATGGACTGTACCAAGGTAGGGGGGGCGAAAGGGTGGAGGGAACTGGAGAAGAAGCATGGAAGGGGGCAGAAGAGGCAGAAACCTGGGAGGTGGCAGAAGAGGAAGAAACCTGGGAGGTGGCAGAAGAGGAAGAAACCTGGGAGGGAACAGGGGAGGTAGGTATAGTACGAGGAGGAGGGTGAACCTCTACACTTGTAACAGAGCCAGTGAGAGGGGAAGAAACCGGTACAGAGACAGGGAAGATAAAATGAGGAGGTGGAAGTAGGGAAGGAGGGGTTAAAGGACCATTTTTTGACTTCTGAGAAGTAGAGGGACGATTGGGAGGAGGTGTCTTACGAGGTCTCGTCGATACTGAGGCTTGTGAGGGAGAACACGAAGAAGCGTGAACAGACTGAGGCGTTGAAGTAGGGACGTCTGAGCCTAGGACAGCAAAAGAATTAGATACAGGAGTGACTATGGGAGAGGTAACCACAGAGGAGGTTGCAGAAGATGGGACCCCAGAAGTGGGGGGACGTTTTGAAACATGGGAATAAGAAACACGAGGTAGTCTCCCTTGGAGGCGGAGATGAGAAACTGTCATGGCATAAGGGAGACCTTCTGCCTCTTTGAGGTAACGGATTTCCCGCTCATTTAAGTAGACTTGGCAATGGCGAGAGTGCGAAGGGTGAGCCTCATGACAATTAAGGCAAGAGGGAGGTCGATTGCAAGACGTATTAGAATGGGCATCGGCACTGCAGACTGGGCATTCAGCTATGGATCTGAATATTTAGCTGGATGGCCAAATCACCAGCAATTTCTACACTGCTGCTGTGTAGGGATCACCTTTCAAACTTGTAACCGATGTCCTGCCACATAAACTGAGGATGGGAGTTCACGGCTGTCAAAAGTTAAACTAGCCACATTGCTAGGGTATCGTCTCTGCCCGCAGGCAGGAAGAACATAAGTGTCTACCTTGAGGATTGGGAGATCTTAGAGTTCCAGCTGTTCAAGAATGTCATTGCCACATGTCTGGAAATTTTGTTGAACTATGGTATGGGGCAGAATGACAGTACCACTACAAGAATTGAGGGAATGATGTTTTTCAATAGTAACAGGAACAGTATCTATATGGGAAAGAAGAGAAAGATCATGAGCTTGGGTAGCATTCCGTACAGTGATAATGTGCGTACCGCTCTTAAGAGCATGAAAAGAAATATCTTTATCAACATAGCGTAGGAGTGCCTTGCCAATACTGTGGTCAGAAAGATAGGCGGTAGAGGAAGTCGGTCGTAAAGTGAAGAATTTAGTCCATTGTGCAGTCTGAAACTGAGCATGGAAAGGGAGTGCAGGACTTGTTGATCTTTTCTGAGAAGAACGAGAAGGTGGAGAAGTATCATCAGCAGGTAACTGTCATTGGCGTTTAGGCGTGGGACCAGAATTGGTCCGACACAGAACAGGCCGGCAATTCGAAAATTGCCGCACCGTAGAGGGAGAGGCCGGAAGCATAGTCAAAGGAGAGCGGAGGTCAGATAAATCAAAGGAGTCAGTCGAGACCTCAGTACCTGAAGTGGGTGAGGAAACAGCACTGGCAAGAGGTACAGAGGCATGAGGAGTGTCCGAAGTGTGGTCCAAAGACGAGGCGGGGTCAGAACGGGGTGCGGTATCAAGAAGGGGCCCGGGGGAATCAGGTTCATGGACTAGGGCTGCCATGGTTAGGTTACTTCTTTCTGTTTGTTTTTAAGAAAAAAAAAGAAAGAAGAAAAGAAAATAAAAATAAAAAAAAGAATAAAAAAAAGGGGGGACTGGGGAGGGATAGTTCCTAGGAGGAATGAAAGGGCAAGAAATCTCCCTCCATGCCCAAGAGGACCTCAGCACCTCAAGTAGCGTAGATGCAGCATGGAACCCGTGCCGTACCCTACCCATCATGCCAGTAAACAAGCAATCCGGGATAGCAACCTCACATCTGCTGAGCTACCTCGGTGGACAAAAGAGAGGGCGGCCGGATATCTGCCACAAAGCATACCTCCTTCAGCTACCACCCCCGGAATCCAAAAGGTGGCTTGCAGAGATACACCCGTCGCCCGAAAGACACTCAAAGCCACTCTCCGGGATACTGGAGAGGGATCGTGACATCCCCAGGCGATCCAGATTCCATGGCAAACAACACCACTGCCAAGAACCTCAACGGAATGGGATGGACCCTGGTACCCTTTCCCCTACCTAGGAACTAGCGTGCCTGTGGGAAAAATCCCAAAGGCCAAAAAGAGGAAGGGCAAAAGGGAGGTGTGGGGAGGGGGAGGAGGAAAGGGAAAAGGGGAGGATGGGGAGCATGGGGAGGATGGGATAGGGAAGGGAGGATTGGGGGGTAATTAGGTTCGGTCTGAGGAAGAAGACCGACAGGTCTAATTCCTCAGACCAAGAGCCTCTTCACCACGCCAAGGAGCCCCCCTTGAAGAGGAGGTCACACAAAGAAAGAAAGAAAGAAAAAAAAAAGTTTGATAATATCGTTGTGTATTTATACCAACCTTCAACATTTCTGCATTATATTTTTTATACAATGACTTGGACTGAGAGTGATCATTATGAGAACTCTGGAAAGGTTTCCTGGTTTCTGGTTTATTTTCTCCCAGCATTTTCTGTTTTAAGAACATAAGAACATAAGAAAGGATGAACACTGCAGGAGGCCTGTTGGCCCATACTAGGCAGGTCCTTTACAATTCATCCCACTAACAAAACATTTGCCCAACCCAATTTTCAATGCTATCCAAGAAATAAGCTCTGATGTGACAGTCCCACTCAAATCCAACCCCACTCACTCATGTATTTATCAAACCTAAATTTGAAACTACCCAAAGTCCTAGCCTCAATAACCCAACTAGGTAGACTGTTCCACTCATCAACTACCCTATTTCCAAACCAATACTTTCCTATGTCCTTTCTAAATCTAAACTTATCTAATTTAAATCCATTACTGCGGGTTCTCTCTTGGAGAGATATCCTCAAGACCTTGTTAATATCCCCTTTATTAATACCTATCTTCCACTTATACACTTCGATCATGTCTCCCTCATTCTTCGTCTAACAAGTGAATGTAATTTAAGAGTTTTACATTTGTAAGGTTGAAATCACGAAGAGGAATTATTTATGTAGAATTTTCGGATTTTTCAGGTGTACATCTTTCATTTTCTGTTATAAAATTCCTCAGTCAGAGCCTGATTTATGTTTTTTTATCTATTATTTTTTGTTCTAATATTTAAGGAGAGATAAAAGTCCTTCATATAGAGACCTAATCATCCCTGCCATTCACTTACAAGCAAATAGAATTTTCCTTAAAAAATCGGCATTGACAAAACAAAGATAGGACAAAATAATCTTGCATCGATTCTAGAAATTACTATCTGTCTTGACCAGTCAATGTTTATGAGTATTTAGCTTTGTATGTCGGCCGTGAGAGGTGTGATCACGATATTTACACTTCCATCTGGCCTCAAAAGAAAAAGAGATTGTTCTACTTTCAGTTCCTCACAACCGACGTCCAGGTGCAGTTCTGCTGCCAACACCAGCTTAGCCAGAGCAACTTTGGTCTCCATCAAGGCAAATCTCATGGCTATGGAAACAAGTACAAATTAATTTATGGATTGCTCTATATGTATAAATAAATGTACACACACACACACACACACACACACACACACACACACACACACACACACACACACACACACACACACACTACACACACACACACATACACACATGAACCTGGACTAACCTGGGAGGGAAGGTTGGGAGGCAGAGCTCAAAAAAAGGGAGGAAGACTGGGGAAGGAAACTAGAAGAGCTTGACAGGAAAATGGAGGAGAGCATAGATGCAGAGAACAGGAAGTGGGAGCAAGAAGCCATAGTAGCAGAAGTTAAGATACAGTGCTTAGAAGAGGAACTGAGAAACCTGAAATAGCTTAAAGAGAAAAATGACAGTACATACATAACATCAGGAACTTCTGCATCAGGCCCAGATAAGGGGCCTAGAGGGAGAAAAGAAGCTATACTGTATACAAGGGCCCTATCAGACCCACGTGGGACCAAAGCAAAGACGAGGAGCACACTAGGAACAAATGAGAGGTCTGAAGACATTGACGAAGCTATGATATATGCAAAGACTCTAACAGACACCTGCAGTTGAACAATCTAAACCAGCACTCACACATCTTTCCCTCTGTCCCCACCCCCACACCATAAAACCCGCCCCTACAGCAGCCCCCTATAGGAACTTTGCCTCCACCTCCACCCCAACCGCAACCCCCATAGGCCCCAGGGCTCCTGCTCCCAAACCCAATTTTCTCTCAGGACCACAGTTTTGAAAAAGAAGTTGAAGATTTGGTACACAAAAACATGGAATAATGAACAAATATGAGAAGCGGCATGGAAGAATCATTGAGAAGTCCCAAGACATCATAGCAATCACAGAAATGAAACTCACTGACACAATAACAGAATCAATCTTCCCACCTGGATATCAGATCCTGAGGAAAGATAAAAGGAGCAGAGAGGAGGAGGGGATGCACTGCTCGTAAAAAAACATTGAAGGTTTGAGGAAATGGAAGGCGTGGACGAGATTTGAGAAACAGATTACATAGTAGATACACTTCAGTCTGGGGAACATAAGGTGATCATTGCAGTGATGTATAATCCACCACAGAACTGCAGGAGGCCAAGAGAGGAATATGAAGAGAACAACAGAGCAATGGTGGACACACTGGCTGAGGTGGCAAGAAGAGCTCACTCGAGCAAAGCAAAGTTACTGGTTATGGGCGATTTCAACCACAGGGAGATCAGCTGGGAAAATCTGGAGCCACACAGGGGTCCTGAAACATTGAGAGCCAAGGTGATGGATTTGGTACTGGAAAACCATATGCATCAAATTGTTAAGGACACTACCAGAGAGAGAGTGGAGGATAAGCCAGCAAGACTGGACCTCATGTTCACCCTGAGCTGTTCAGAAATTGAGGACATAACATATGAGAGGCCCCTAAGAGCTAGTGATCACATGGTTCTGTGCTTTGAATACATAGTAGAGTTAAAAGAGGAGAGGGTAACAGGAGTTGAATGGGAAAAGCCAAACTGTAAAACGTGGGGCTACACTGGTATTAGGAACTTCCTGCCTGGAGTCGATGTGTTCAGTCAATCAATCTTGTAGAATGCACAGCATAGGGCCGTAGACATGGCTTATATACTGTAGTGAGGTGAGGCGAAGCAGGAGGAGGTGGGGTCATAATGGTACCATCCACAAGTCAAAGTAGGTCTTCGTCCAAAGGTTGGACAAGTGTTGAAGAATTCTTCTTAACAGCGAATATGCAAAGGTTTGCAACAAGACTAGTCCCAGAGCTAAGGGGTATGTCCTACGAGGAGAGGTTAGGGGAAATCGACCTGACGACACTGGAGGACAGGAGAGATAGGAGGGACATGATAACTACATATAAAACACTGATAGGAATTGACAAGGAGGACAGAGACAGACTGTTCCAGAGATGGGACACAGCAACAAGGGGACACAGTTGGAAATTGAAGACACAGACGAATCACAGGGATGTTAGGAAGTATTTCTTCAGTCACAGAGTAGTCAGGAAGTGGAATAGTTCGTGAAACGATGTAGTGGAGGCAGGATCCTTTCGTAGCTTTAAGCAGAGGTATGATAAGGCTCATGGTTTAAGGAGAGTGACCCAGTAGCGACCAGTGAAGAGACGGTGCCAGGAGCTATGAATCGACCCCTGCAACCACAACTAGGTGAGCACACACACACATACACACACACACAAACACACTGCTAACTGAACTAGACACCTCAAAGGCGATGGGACCAGAAAACATCTTTCCGTGGGTCCTTAGAGAGGGAGCAGAGACACTGTGTATGCCACTAATAACAATCTTCAACACATCCATTGAAACTGGGCAACTACCGGAGGTATAGTACATGGCAAATGAAGTCCAAATTTTTAAGAAAGGTGATACACATGAGGCATTAAACTACAGACCAGCGTCACTGACATGTATAATATTCAGTCATGGAGAAGATTATCAGGAGAAGAGTCGTGGAGCACATGTGAAGGACTGGGCTCATGCATAACAATCAACATGGTTTTAGTGATAGGAAATCCTTTGTCAAAATTCTTCCTGAATTCTTCGACAAGGTAACAGAAGTAAGACATGACAGAGAGGGATGGGTAGGTTGCATCTTTTGGGACTGTAAGAAGGTTTTTGACACGGTACCACACAAGAGACTGGCTCAAAAATTAAAGGAGCAAGTAGGAATAGTAGGAAAAGCACTGCATTAGATCAGTGAATGCCTGACAGGAAGGAAACAAAGCTATGAAACTTGAGGAAGGACAAAGAAGACCGCAGACGAAGTACAGGCTACGGGGTCAAAGGCTGCAAACTTCACGTAAGGAGAAGGATGTTGGTGTAAGCATTATACCGAGCACATCCCCTGAGGCTCGCATCAATCAGATAACCGTTGCAGCAAATGGGCGCCTGGCAAACTTGAGAACAGCATTTCAATATCTAGAAAGGAGTCATTCACAACAATATAAACCGTGTACGTCAGGCCCATTTTGGAGTATGCGGCACCAGCACGGAACTCACACTTAGTCAAATACGTCAAGAAAGTGGAGAAAGTGCAGAAGTTAGCAACAAGACTAGTCCCAGAATTGAGGGGTGTGTCTGATGAGTGAGGTTAAGGGAACTCAACCTGATGACACTAGAGTATAGGCGGGATATGGGGGATATGATAAGGACGTATAAAATACTGAGAGGAATTTACAAGGGGCTAGAATGTTTCTGAGATGAGACACAGGAACAAGGGGCCTCAGCTGGAAACTGAAAACTCTAATGAGTCATAGGGATGTTAGGAAGTATCTCTTTAGCCTTATAGATGTCAGGAAGTGGAATAATCTGGATAGTGAAGTAGTGGAGGCAAGATCCATACATAACCTTAGGATGAATGACAAGGCTTAGGAGCGGGAAGAGAGAGTGACCTAGCAGTGGCTAGGGAAGAGACGGGGCCAGCAGCTGTGAATCGACCCCTGCAACCAAATTTAGGTGAGTTCATATAGGTGAATACACACACACACACAGACCTGACACAAACACACGCCTCACGGAGATATCTCACAAACACGCAGGACCTGTGAATCGAACCCTGCAGACACTTACAGGTGAGTACATACACATACACACACCTAACACACAGACACACACACAAACACTCATACTTACGCAAATAATAATAATAATAATAATAATAATAATAATAATAATAATAATAATAATAATAATAATAATTGGATATGATACATAGTTGTACAAGAGCATTATATATAGAGAATTATGGGCAGCTTAAAATTATCTTAAGATTAACTAAGCAATAAATTCAGTGGTAAAAATTACAGAAAGCAATTTGCTATATAAGATACATTTAAGTATTTTAAACAATGAAATTTGAACATTTCAATTATGAACCATTATAGTTGTACAAATTCGTAGTATTACAATGAATAATGTAGTCGTACAATTTATTAATCCGATCAACTCGAATAAAATCAATGATTTGACGTGCAGAAACAGGTCTTGAGGTCATTAGATGAGTTACTGTGTATTGAAGAGAATTGATTATTCTGTTAGGTAATATAATTAAAAACATAGTTGAGAGGGTCATAGGTTATACATTTATGAGATACAGTTATTCAGTATTTATTTAGTTGTGGGTGAGTAAGTGGTTTTTAAGAAGAGTCTTGAACTGATAAACAGACAGTATTTCTTTTATATTCACAGGTAATGAATTCCAGATTTCTAGGCCTTTTATGTGCATTGAGTTTTTACATAGTGTGAGATGGACACGAGGAACATCAGAGAGTGATCTGTGTCTTGTGTTATGGTCAAGTGTTCTGTTGAGGTTGGTAAGGAGAAGTTTGAGGGGAGGGTTTATATCTGAGTTTAGTGGTTGAGGTTGGTAAGGAGAAGTTTGAGGGGAGGGTTTATATCTTAGTTTAGTGGTTGAGGTTGGTAAGGAGAAGTTTGAGGGGAGGGTTTATATCTGAGTTTAGTGGTTGAGGTTGGCAAGGAGAAGTTTGAGGGGAGGGTTTATATCTTAGTTTAGTGGTTGAGGTTGGTAAGGAGAAGTTTGAGGGGAGGGTTTATATCTGAGTTTAGTGGTTGAGGTTGGTAAGGAGAAGTTTGAGGGGAGGGTTTATATCTTAGTTTAGTGGTTGAGGTTGGTAAGGAGAAGTTTGAGGGGAGGGTTTATATCTGAGTTTAGTGGTTGAGGTTGGTAAGGAGAAGTTTGAGGGGAGGGTTTATATCTGAGTTTAGTGGTTGAGGTTGGCAAGGAGAAGTTTGGGGGGAGGGTTTATATCTGAGTTTAGTGGTTGAGGTTGGTAAGGAGAAGTTTGAGGGGAGGGTTTATATCTGAGTTTAGTGGTTGAGGTTGGTAAGGAGAAGTTTGAGGGGAGGGTTTATATCTGAGTTTAGTGGTTGAGGTTGGTAAGGAGAAGTTTGAGGGAGGGTTTATACTGAGTTTAGTGGTTGAGGTTGGTAAGGAGAAGTTTGAGGGGAGGGTTTATATCTGAGTTTAGTGGTTGAGGTTGGTAAGGAGAAGTTTGAGGGGAGGGTTTATATCTGAGTTTAGTGGTTGAGGTTGGCAAGGAGAAGTTTGAGGGGAGGGTTTATATCTGAGTTTAGTGGTTGAGGTTGGTAAGGAGAAGTTTTGAGGGGAGGGTTTATATCTGAGTTTAGTGGTTGAGGTTGGTAAGGAGAAGTTTGAGGGGAGGGTTTATATCTGAGTTTAGTGGTTGAGGTTGGTAAGGAGAAGTTTGAGGGGAGGGTTTATATCTGAGTTTAGTGGTTGAGGTTGGTAAGGAGAAGTTTGAGGGGAGGGTTTATATCTGAGTTTAGGGGTTGAGGTTGGTAAGGAGAAGTTTGAGGGGAGGGTTTATATCTGAGTTTAGTGGTTGAGGTTGGTAAGGAGAAGTTTGAGGGGAGGGTTTATATCTTAGTTTAGTGGTTGAGGTTGGTAAGGAGAAGTTTGAGGGGAGGGTTTATATCTGAGTTTAGTGGTTGAGGTTGGTAAGGAGAAGTTTGAGGGGAGGGTTTATATCTGAGTTTAGTGGTTGAGGTTGGTAAGGAGAAGTTTGAGGGGAGGGTTTATATCTGAGTTTAGTGGTTGAGGTTGGTAAGGAGAAGTTTGAGGGGAGGGTTTATATCTGAGTTTAGTGGTTGAGGTTGGTAAGGAAGTTTGAGGGGAGGGTTTATATCTGAGTTTAGTGTTGAGGTTGGTAAGGGAAAGAAAGTTTGAGGGGAGGGTTTATATCTTAGTTTAGTGGTTGAGGTTGGTAAGGAGAAGTTTGAGGGGAGGGTTTATATCTGAGTTTAGTGGTTGAGGTTGGCAAGGAGAAGTTTGAGGGGAGGGTTTATATCTGAGTTTAGTGGTTGAGGTTGGTAAGGAGAAGTTTGAGGGGAGGGTTTATATCTTAGTTTAGTGTTCTATATGTGTAGTAAGCACAACAATAAGTATGGATGTCTTGTACAGTGAGAAAGTTTAGAGTTTTGAATATTGGTGGAGTGTGTTAGCCTGGAGTGGGAAATTCGCTATCAGTCTGACTGCAATCGTAAACAAAGAATAAATACGAACAAAAAAACAGTAAAGAGTAGAAGTTTCAAGTCAAGAACTTTCATAATGTCACCAGTCCTTCTTCAAGAACTATGTGATGAGGAAAGTACTAAAAGTTATTAATAATTATGAGAAGTATGTAGAAGTTGCAGCATACTTCTGACGAAGCTTTTGTGACCTTAAGCTGCGACATCTGTCTGAGGCACGCAAGTGCAAAACACTTATACCTAGTGCCTTATTTTGCAAACACGCACGCAGACACACAGACACAGACACAGACACAGACACAGACACAGACACAGACACAGACACAGACACACACACACACACACACACACACACACACACACGCACACACGTACATACATACACACGTACACACACACACACACACACACATACACACACACACACACACACACATATATATATATATATATATATATATATATATATATTATATATATATATATATATATATATATATATATATATATTATATTATATACTTCACCTACCTATGCAGTTCCTTGGACCCATCCCAAAGGGCATGTGAGTAAAGCTAATAATGTTGACTTTATTCTCCGGCAGAAAGCGATCTGGCAGGAAGACTTCAGGATGTGTCCAGTAACGAGGGTCGTGATGCAGACTCCAGAATGGCAGGATCACCTCGTCACCAGGATTCATAATGATGTCGGTGCCAGGGATTCTGTTGATTTTTTTAGTGTCACTGCTTAAGGATGATCAGTATTTTGGGTTTGGTTTATGTGTTTAATAATGATAACAGCAATAATAATAATAATAATAATAACAGCAACAACAACAACAATAATAGGGTTCAGGGTGAATATAGCAGGTTCGCTGTCTTCCAGTTTGTAAGAAGCTGATCCTTTGACGATGAGATCCATCTCTTCATCTAATTCCCTCTTGGAGATGTTATATTCTGGTGAGGCCAACTGCTGAGGTTTATTTTTCATCTCTCTGTAAGACAACTGATAGTCATCTTGAATCTGCGTATTTGTGTCGACACTAACTCTTTTTTCTTTTAAAAAAGCGTATTACGTTATCAAATCTTCGGTGTCCCTAAGAGCCTCACTCTGTACTCTGTTCATGCAAACCAGTTAAGAAAATTGCATCCGAAACAGTTGTTTCCTCCTAGTAACTGGTGAGCGGACCTTCCCTCCAGCTCTCAGTCCCACATTCGATGACCATAACCATCTTTGCTCCCCTTCCTCACGTTTAAAGCTGATAGGAAATCTAACTCTCTACTTCCTTTCCCTTGATGTTTATGTCCCATCGTTCAGCTACAGTTTTTCCTTTACGTTTATGTCAAGCCTATATGATAGTCCTTATGTACAGTAGCCACGGTGTCCTGTGGCTAAAGCCCCGTCCTTCCACACACGGATGGCCGGGTTCGATCCCGGCGGGTGGACACATTTTCGACAACGTTCCTTACACCTGTTGACCTTTCACCTAGCACAAATAGGTACCATGGGTGTTAGTCGACTGGTGTGGGTGGGCATCCTGGGGTCAAGATTAAGGACCACAATGGAAAAGTTAGACAGTCCTCGATGACGTAACAGACAATCTTGGGTTACCTGGTGGCTAACCCTCCGGGTTTAAAAATCCGAACGAAATCCTTATCATTAAAAGTTTTCTGAACACTCAAGAACAAAATAATATCCTGCAAACTTCATACGAATAACAAACAGACTCTTTTCATGACTGAATTAGCGCTGTTTGTAACGACGATGGTGAAGGTTGGCTAAATTAATTAAACCGTACTTCTCTGTATAAGATATATATATAAAACTATAATAAATATATATATATATATATAATATATGTAAAATATATATAAATATATATATAATATATATTATAGTCGTGCCGAAATGTAAAAACTGGGGGGGTTCAATATAGCAAGAACTCATTTAAAGATTTAAGTCTTTTTACAAAATTTTCTCTTAAACGTTTAAAGATATATTTTTTTTCATTAATGCTGATGTAAAATTTTAAAATTTTGCACTCAAAAGAATCTAGAAACTTACCTAACCTTATTATAACAAGCGCATTTATTTTAGCCAACCCCCCTAAATATATTTTTAGATTTTTTACAAAATTTTAATACTAAAAAAACACAGTGAAATAAATTTTTTTTCGTTTTGGTTTTTAAAGATTTTGGCGAAATTATTGATACACAAATTTTCACTTGTTCTAAGCAAGATGACGTTGCATTTAACCAAGATGGTAATTTTGCCCCTTCGGCACGCATATAAATATATAATAAATTAATATAATTTTATAATAATATAATATAATATATATAATAAAATAATATATATATACAAACACGATCTCTGGCTGAAAGGGGACTCGAACCCCAAAAACCTTAGGGAAAGGGACCAGTGCTTTACCAACACCCACACTGGGAAAAACCTTGGCGTGTAGCAAGGCTACACGTTTGTCCAAGCAGTCAGCTTCAGGGAGAAGGCTTACAGCTTTTCATCTCATCCTCTGCATGCATCAGCCTTACTAGAGATTTTAACAATGCAAGGAATTCGCGAGAGCATGCGAAATATACACAAACACTGATCTCTGGCTGAAGGAGACTCGAACCTACGAACCTTAGGACAAGGTACGCAGTGTTTTACCAATCTACCCACACTGGATAATACCTTGGCTTGTAGCATGAGCTACACGTTTGACCCGGGTCATACATACTAATGTGTTAGATTAAGACCCGGGTCATACATTCTAATGTGATATTCGCTGCTTGGTAGCCGTGCTAGCAACACCTCTGCAGTAAAGTTTTGCTCGGGAAACTACTTGTTCCACACTGGAAGGCAATTATTCTTGAAATGTTCGGGCTGTGGCTTTGGTTATAAGTCAAGGGTCTTTCCTGCATCACAGTTCAGTAGAATTACTTGTAAGGATAATTCACGATAAATATGAAATAATGGAAGAATATATTCGCGGTATTGCGATAGTGAATCACCAGAGGACGCTTGTGAAGTTGAACGACAAGGCAGAATACTCTCGTTAAGTGTCGTCTTTTCAGTACGCTGAAATGTATATAAATGGGTTAGAGAAAGTGAAGCTAAAATATGTATCTACTACAGACCTGTGGATCCGTATCTGTGGATTACTCTTTGAAGCTGATGAGTGGATTTACGTGGTACGTTTTGGAAAGTGCGGTGAGATACTAGACGTAAAATTAGAAGGTTTATTAAATGGGGCATGTGTGTTTAAAATAGTATTAAGACATTCAGTACCAATCATACATTAATAATTGTGCAGTTTCGTACACATGTCTTAGTAACGTATGCAGGCCAACAGAAGACAGCAACGAGTGACTAGCTCCCTTAAGGTTTACTATACAAATAGTAGGAGTCTAAGAAATAAGATAGATGAGCTAAGATTACTTGCAAGTGTAGGTAATATGGATATTACCAGTTCTCACCCAGCTGTTGGTGAGGGTGGACGCAGAGCGTGCGGCTGGTGCCCTTTGGTGTCTGTATTGAGAAGCTTTGTTTTCTCAAGATGGCGGAGCGCAGAAGAAGAGTCAACACTGTCTGTGTGGAACTGTTGAAAGGTGCAATGTACCAGGACACCACTGACGTCATTCTGCCTCTTGTGATAAGAGATACGTATGGAATCCCAAGTGAGGATTTATATGGGATTTCTTTGAACGGCAACGCAAGAATTTTTGTGAAATTTGTGTCGTCTGCTGCTTATGTGAGAGTTGTGGATGCCTTTCAAGAAAAACAGATCGTCATCAACACTGGTCTGGAGGTGCTCCTGCGTGATGTCTCGGCATGTTATACGTGAGTTCGTCTACGTAATATACCCTTCGAGGCAGACGAGGTAGACATTCGTCGGACTTTTGGGCGCTATGGCACCATACAAGCTGTGCAAGTTGGGCGTTGGTCCCAGGGTTTTTATACTGGCATGCTCGAGGGTTCTTTTTCTATGAAAACACCATTGAGACATCCAATTCCCTCGTTTGTCATGATTTTCGGACGCAGGTCTACGTAACCTACCCATGCCAGGTTCGGACGTGCCAACTGTGTGGTGCAACGGGGCATATGGCGGCGTCTTGTGAACAACGACGAGGGAAACAACCTGACAGACATTGCATCGAGAGATACGATGGTGGATGATGTGCTGCAGGTTTTACCAGCGGATGTGAAGTGGAGTGCAGCAGTGGATGCTGCAGAGGGGAACGTCTCGACGCTACCACCGGCGTCGGAGATCGAGGAGATTGGGTGTGTGGACAGCGCGTCGCCTCCGGTGGAAGAGGAGGTGCACGCGCCATTGATATTGCCCAGTTTTGAGAACTTACAGAGGATCCTCGACAGCCCTGCGACAGTGGATTTACCGCCTACGTTGGCGGCGGCGCCTGTGGTCGACCATGGTCTAGCAGGACGTGTGGGAGATGAGGAAAGGCGTATGACTTGTACGACAGTGGTGGTGACGGATGTAGAGGTGCATAGGACGGACGGTGATGGGCTGATGGATTATGAGGGAGTGTCATGTAAGAGGCCCAGTACACCGGCGGAGGACGATGTCTTAACACTGGGTCAAAGGTCTTGTAAAATGGTGTGGGCTGATGTAGCCAAGGGCATTAAGGGCCTTCCCTTAGAGAAGTCAAGTGGGAGTGTGGGGAAGACGGGCATGTGCAGCAGTGGCAAGTCCAAGTCAGGTTTAAAGGTGATGGGAAAACGCAATGAGAAAACCAAACTGGAGGTTTCAAGTGTATAACAATGAATGTCAATGGCCTCAGAGCAGAGGTAAGAAGCGTTGGGTAGAGGTATCGCTCAGACGTATGGATGTCGACGTTTTTTTATGCAGGAACACAATTTTTGGTGTGGTAGTGAATTACGTGTGCAAGAGTATAAGCGTTATGCAGGGAATTCGGATAATCTCAAGGGTGGGGTTGTGACAGGCATAAGGGAGACCAGCACTTTTAAGCTCGTAGCATGGGAGTGGGGCGGAGGGGGCCAGATTGTGCGTGTGGTGGGTTCGTGGGGAAACACTCAGGTGGGTTTCGTGGGAGTATATATGTCAGCGACAACAAATCGACGAGTAAAGGAGGATTTTGTACGTGATGTTTTGGTTTATTTTCTCAGAAGTCTTCCCCTTATTTTTCTGTCGTTGCAGGTGATTGGAATTGTGTGATCTGGGAAAAAGATGTTGAACCGCGTGGTGGGGGGTGTAATTTAAGGGTTTTATGGGAGGTACTGCAGGCGATTGGTGTAGTGGATGTAGTGGGTAGTGACGGGTGGAATGTGGAACACACGTTTTGTAGGAGGGGTTACACTGCGCGGTTGGACAGGGTTTATATCACTAGCTTAATCCGTAGTGGCAGGGCTAATTGTGTTGATCTGGGTTTCTCAGATCACCGTGGTGTTCTGGTAACACTCGAGTGGGGGAAGCCGCTATCCGTGTTTTTTCTAGTTATTGGAAATTAAATGTCAACTTATTGCAAGGAGTCGATGCTGTGGAAGCTTTCAGGTTATGGTGGGTTGGATTCTGGAACGAAGGGAATGGGATAGAGGATATTGTAGAGTGGTGGCATTCAAAGGCGAAAAATGCAATACAGGGTTTTTATAGAAGGTTAGGGAAGGAGGAGGCATGTTATAGATATGGGAAGCAAAAGTATTTAGAGGGACAGCTGCGGGATTGTTATGGTGCAGGCAG